TAGAAAGTAAAGAAAATTAATCGATAATCGATTGTTCACCTTCATCTTCATTGGCGTAGGCGACCGCAACGAGAAATAATAGCGATGGGACGATCATCGTCTCAAGCGGGTTACCTTCAATGAAATTATCAAGCGATTAGCCGAAGCGTTTCTGTCAACAGTATGCGGCGAGTTTATAAACAGTACATATATCAATCAATATCGATCAATAGGGCAGAGAAGCACAGTGCAATCTGAGAAATCAAAAGCAGACGTTTGATGATCGGAAAGACGAAATAGTTAATGCAATTGGAACAAAGAAGAACTGAAGGGAAGTCAGCAAAGTAGAAAAAGGTGGTATCAGATCCTTCACTTTTGGCCTTTCAGATTGCGCCACATGTCCGCTTTCCAATCAAAATTTGGAAGCGATCGAACTGTGCACACTAGTTGTTTCGCTTACTTCCTCCAACAGCAGCTGGATTGTGAATATACAATGCCGGAAGTTATTCGAGTTCGTGGGCGGACGAGGGAAGGAATGGCTTTTTCCTACCCTTTACAGCTATTTAAACAGATTTTGTTTGTTTTGTGTCCTATGGGGTTGTTGTTTATAACTTTTACTCGATTGGCGTAACGTATTCACTGGAATCGAACAACAATAAACAGACACACGACCTCGCCTATATAGGAGCGGAGGCAGTGTAATTCAGAATCCCAGCCTTGGTCTGCTCAAGCGCCCGGTTATGGGCTATAGGTTGCATGACTACGTAGCAATTACCGGAAAGAGAAGAGAAGGTCCTAATTGGTCTCCCTCAGTCATTGATATTTGTAGAGCTGCCTTAAATCATCCTTTGGGCTGATCTCCGCCAAAGGGATCTCTCTGAGAATGTAGTTTTCTTCACTCCCTGGAACATCTGCTAGTTGTGATAAATAAATTATAGCCGAAATCAAATTGGGTTTTCGAAGCTTTCACGGTTTTCTGTAGAATTTTGGGAAGAACTCTGTCTTTTTTGTAGCAGAAGGAATTTTTTTCGGCTTTTCCCTGAATCCGCATTTCTCTGAAGGGCAATAAAAAACTGGGAAGAACTATTCTATCGCGATGGTGCGAAATAAATCAATGAGCAATCACGAAGGATGAAGCCTCTTAACTTAATAAGGGCACCTCAAAATTATCATAAACTGTGCTTTTGAATAGTTTTCTAGCAATTTCGGCTCTACTTATTCGCATTCCAAAAAAATAAACATTCTCAAATGTCCCCCTTCATCAGTGTCATAAATTCACGGCGATCCCCAATCTCTCACCCTTAAGTTAGCGTAAAGCTTGAACAGGTCCAAATGGAAGAAATAACGGTGCGCTGAGGAAGCTGTGGCATTTTGGGAGTACTTCTACTGCAAGGAAACAGACGAATGTACTTTAAACAAGGAAATTTTCTTGCTATCAGATTGAATAGGAGTGGGGAGGCATGGCTACGATCTCCTACAATAATAAAGAAGTCGGTGCTGCTGCCAAACTTTCTGAATCAGGTGGGCAGTACAGAATAGACAACTGGCATCATGTCAGCTCATCTAGAAAGCTTAAATATGTAGAAAGGCTCTCTTTTAATAAATAGAATGACAACCTTCTCCTAAAAGTTTGAAATAAACTTACTTCCACCTACAAATCTGCGTCACAAACGATTATATGTGTACTATTAATAGAAGAACCCACTAGGGGGACACCACCACGTTCCAAGAGAACGTAGGCCTACGTCATGATATTGGATTCCAAGTTCTTGTGACTACGCTCATTTGGGTGCATTCGACTGCAATGTTAGTGGAAAAAANTATTTGGATGCATCTATACATGAAATCAAGTATTCACCCTTATCGCAAGAAAAAAGATGGTTTCTGGAAAAGAATGAACCTATAAAAAGTTAGTTTTTGCTTCTTTCCTACTGGTGAAGAATAGCAGAGTTAACTGTTTTTCTACATTTATTTTGCCACGATTCAATTGGCAGAAGTTAAAACTGTAACCACAAAGTGCTCTAAAAAATATCCAGCTCTTAAAAATCAGTCTGGACCATTCGCTTTAAAGCCACCTGCAACAAAAGATACAAAGCAGAAGTATTTGGAAGCAAAGAGCCTCTAGGGGAGTACGCCACTCAGCCAATTCCGATCAGTATTTACAGGCACATTTACGCCTGCTTCCTACATTCAGACGATGGACTCTGAGACTAAACAGTATTCAGACCAGTAGTGTTGGCTTTGTACCGGCTACTCAACTATACTCGGAAATTGATTTGATTGGTTAGGCTGGTATCTGGTCTATGAGTTCTGCTCCTGAGATCCTGCTAGCTGCTGCTCAGACCAATGCCTTTTTCGTCATGTCACATACGATCCGTGAAAGTCACGACTGGAAAATCGTCATTTTTATAAGAATCGGTGCACAATTACGCATCAGACGTGAAAATGAAGTTCAATCAAGTGCAATTATATCACTTGTCTTTCAACTAGACTTTTAATGACGAGTAGTCCCAAAAAAGTATTTGGGGTCGGTTGCCTGATAACAAACTCGTGCGGTAGGATAAAAAACGGCGGTTCACTAATTCGTGAATGAGATGGCCACCAAACTGTTGTATGGGACACAAATGCATTCAAAGGCCAGAACGATTCTGAAACGAGGTGGATACAGCGGCGCATCCCAAAAATGAGACTTGCCTAAGGCTCTGTCCTTTATCCTTTTATGTCACGTATGTCACGCGCCTGCTTATAATGCCACATTCATGATCATTTCTTATTTGCGTCAGCGTTTTTTAGCTTTTGCAAAGATTATGTACAGCCAAGTACATATAATGCAATAGTTGTACGTTCGCAATACTGTTTAGTAGTTATTACAGAACGCCAATGAAGTTAGCTGGTTAGAGCAATGAGGGTGCGCTCTGCTCCTACTTGCACTTGCTCACTTGCGTGCGGATAAAGTGATTAGAAAAGTTTATTTTCCATGGAACTACAACAGTTCATTGCTCAGGATTAGAAAAACGAATAGATTTCTTGAAACTTTAACAAAATCTCAACACTGAGGGTGAATATGGGATACATTTTTGTTAAAGGTAGGTTTATCTGCAATGGATGGGGAAAAGTAGCCTTTTCTCGCGGGACAAGGTGTGAAGGGGTGACTGGTTATCGTGAGCCGTAGACAACTACCGCGGGGAAGGACAGCTACTTTATTTCTTTCACATGAGACAAAAAGCGCAGTGAGTCAATCAGATACCGAATTGCATCGGGTAGGAGCACATCGGCTTTGAATTATTACTATTACGTCTAAACTTCTTCGCTTGTTTGCCTGTCTGTCTGTCTGTCTGTCTGTCTGTCTGTCTGTCTGTCTGTCTGTCTGACTGTCTGTCTGTCTTTCTGCCTGCCTGCCTGCCTGTCTATTTTTCTGTCTGCCTGCATGCCTCCCTCCCTGCCTGCCTACTTGCCTGCTTTCTGTATGTCTAGCTGCCCTTCTGTCTGTCTGTTTGTCAGTCTATTTCATTTCTCATCTCAATTTCTCTTGCTCTTTCGTAAAATTCTGAAATTCCGTCAAAATGGGAAGGTCAGAAATGTGAGAGAGAATGATCTTTGAAGCACAGCGTTCACTGACTGGGAAGACTGCCAAACAACAGATGCCAAACAGGATCAGGTATCTTTTGTTCCAAAAAAAAATTGAAAAACAAAAAATGGGATTTTTTGTCGTGTTCTAACATTATCGAATGACGGTAGACTCCCATTGAACAAAAAAAAAACAAAAAACCAAAGAACAAGTGGTAAAAAAGGCAAGACTAGCCGAGGGTTTTGTTAACGGACAGTAACGTAAGTCAGTGAATTTTGTGCAGAGCAGAGAGGAAAAAAAGAGAACCATGTGCTTCGAGTAAATCTATGAGCTGTAGATGAATGTTACTGGTTTCGTATAATAAGCGCAATTAAGAGAAGTGGTAGAAATGACGTAGTAAACTGTATGAATTCAAGTAATCGATAAGATTTGCTGGATGATTTTGCTTCACTTCCGAATGTTGATGACCATTTTAGGCCAGAAATAATGTGTAAATATCATTCACTTTCATTAGCCAGAAATTATGCATTCATGCATAGAAGTTGACGCTTAAAGAGCTTCACGCCCCCAGAATACGCTCATCACATAAATATGACTGGTATATAAATAATGACCTGAACGACCCACTACGACTCTAGGACTTAGGCAGTCCTCAGCCCTTAAACTTGAACCACTTTTTAATCTTTCCCTCGGCACTGTCTGGGCGTTATGCACGTACCGGCACTAATGCTAGTGCCAATGTACAGTTTCACCTACGCACTACAAGCGTAGGTGAATGAGACTTTGAGGAGGAGCTCCCTTACATCTATCATGTTCCTATCATGGTTGGAGAACATAAACTCACAGGGAATCTGATGTTTACTTTCGATTTACTCACAGAAGGCCACCGATGAAAACTATGTAGAGTTCGCCTAGGCCAAGCCAACATTCTACGGCACGAAGCTTTGGATAGAGGGGTCTTTTATATGCTCTACATCCTTCCTAAACAAATTTCACTACGAATGATGCTGTTTGAATGATGCACACCTCCGATTGCACAGAAGAAATAAATAAAGAAGGTAATAAATAAATAATGTAGGCTAGTTCCGGAAAGTGTTTGTTTAAGTGAACTTGTTTCCCTGTGGGCAGTGCTTCTGTAATGGGTGGATGAGAACTTCATTGGGTGTAGTATTACTATGACGATATAACGACATAGCANTAATAAAACTCACATGTCGTGTAAGCGTCTGCACCTTCAATGGGAAGTATACAAGCATTCAAACGATCGGCCAAATTTTTCCCTCAAAAAGGCATATGCCAGAATCTTTATAGGCCCACAGGATGAGCCGTGTCTTATGCAAGTCATGGAAATGGAAATGAATGATGCTTACTCTAACACATTTCAACATGTTATTACTCGTTTAACGATCCTCAACAACACTAAGTGAACATGAAAGGAAGGCTATACATGTATCAACGTGACAAAACGCTATGTTTAGCTTCACGACGCAGCCTTTTTGCTTAGTATAACCCCTTCTTTCGACGGATTTCTCTACTCATGTTCTGCTCTA